TCAGCTCTCTTTAAACAAACAATATTTTAAATATTTAAATATATTTTTAAGTTAATCTGATTTAAAAAAAATTCTAAGTGAATAAAATTTAAAAATACGAGTTGTTTATACAGTAAATTTGCTGATTCGTCCAGTTGTTTGTAGAGTAATTATTTATATTTCAGCTTTCTTTAAACAAACAATATTTTAAATATTTAAATATATTTTTAAGTTAATCTGATTTTTAAAAATTCTAAGTGAATAAAATTTAAAAATACGAGTTGTTTATACAGTAACTTTGCTGATTCGTCCAGTTGTTTGTAGAGTAATTATTTATATTTCAGCTTTCTTTAAACTGTCAGTGACTGAATGGGTCACGGGTAGTCTAGTACTAAGTATTGTTACCTTTCCGTTTGCAGTTGGCACTAAAGACACGAAGCCGTTATGAAAACGTTACTGAATTAAATATGGTGCTCTGTTACCAAACTGAATTATCTTTCCTTGACTCAGCAAAAATTTATGCACATGTCAAAGAATACGAAATGCGTCACGTGGCAAAAATTGTAAGTCAAGTGGCGAGTTAAAACCCATTCATTAAAAGAACTGTCTATTCTAGACCACAATTTTTCTCATCTAGCCACATCACCTATGAAATCTACGAACAGGTCAACCATCAAAATAATTTACTTTTCTTTTTTTATTTCTTTTAATATGTATTGGGTTGGTGTCATGATGAAACTATTGTAGTAGTAAAGTGCTGTAATTAAACAGATAATGTGTTTTCCTTTATATATATAGATGGATTTGGGAAAATGAAATAAAACCAATAAATAAAATAATAATAATGAATAAAAAATGAAATATATTTTCCAATGATAGTAGTAATAATGTAACTAGAAATTGTATTTGCCCACCTGGCTTCACCAAACGCCCATTAGGTGGTGTTGTTTGGGTTCTATAAAAATACAAATATTCTTTCCTCTTTATCTTTTCTTCCTTTTACCCCAAGTTGTAGAAGGATACAAATGAAGACGTCCACGTTGGGAAACATCTACTTTCCCTCTCGACTGATGGATGAAATAAGTACAACCTTTACTTTTGTCGTTTGAACTCATCGCAAAGCTGACATGTGCTCAACCATTATAAATATGCTTACCATGATTTACCGTCCTGAAACAGAAAAAGAATCTCTTCCACTTCTCAACGCATAGTGTTCGGACGTGTTTTTTTCAGCATTACGCATGAAGTAAGTACTTTGGTCATTCCAATTCACTGCAAAGCTGACTTGAGCACGACCATTATAACCATGCTTATTATGACTTACCCTAACTTACTTCTGAACCAGTGAAAAAAAACGGACCCAAGATGCATTGACAATTTTGTTTTCTTTACAGTTTTTATTTTTAAATAAAATATTCGATCCGTAGTAGAAACCAAAGTTTTAGCATGCTTCTTTTATTATTTTCATATGAACACGCACACTTACAATACACTAACATGCAACCTTACATTCTATATGTCCTTTTTTGTTTTCACCCATGGGCAAATTCTTACCATATCGTGGATATAGTAATGCTTGTGTTGGGATGTTAAGGTAAATTTATTTGCAATCTCTTTCAATAATGGTGGATTAATCTAATTGAATGGAAAAAGGAACACTAATTATACAAACATAATGCCTCCAAAGCTAAAATGCTCCCTATTAATCATATGAGTGACCACTCCCTGCCTTCCATCAGCATGGCTAATGGGAGTGGTTCGTTGTGCTTAACGTTCTCAGCTGACATGAATTGGAAAGACTATATTGAATCCATTGCTAGGTCAGCTGCTAAGAAAGTTGGTTCACTGTGTTGTACCAGACAATTTTTCTCTCCAAAATCTCTCTTACACATCTATAAGTCTACCTTTTGTCCATGTATAGAATATTACTGCCGCGTATGGTCCGATGCCCCTGCTATTTACCATGAACTCCTTGATAAAATTCAAAGAAGAATCAGCAATATTATTGGTCTTGATTTGGCAGCTCAGCTTCAGTCACTTTCCACTGCCATTAAGTTGTCTTCTCTGTCTTTTACATAAATATTTTCATGGTAATTATTCGGATGAGCTCTTTGCTATGGTATTTATAAATTTTGAATTTAAGCACGAGATCTCATTAATTTACAGTTGAGATGGCTATATGTAGCCGTCATTCTATGCTAACAGCTTCTTTGGCGCAATTCTCGCTTGTGGAACTCATTTCCGGTCCCATGCTTTCCAACCAACTTTAATCTGCAATAATTTTAATGCAAAGTCAATTGCTATCTACTGTCCTCCTGATTACTCTTTCCTCTTCCTGCTCATTATTAATGTTTCTGTTCCTAATTCTTCCACACCTTGTAAACCCTTGTGTCTTTACTGCCTTTCTTGTGGGACTCCCTTCCTGGCTCCATGCTTTCCAGCCATCTTTAATCTGCAATAATTTGAATGCAATGTCAGTTGCTATCTACTGTCCTCCTGATTACTTTTTCCTCTTCCTGCTCATTATTAATGTTTTTATTTCTAATTCTTTCACACCCTGTTACCACTTGTGTTTTAGTGGCTTTATTGCCTTTCTTGTGGAACTCCCTTCCAGTTCCATGCAGTCCAACCAACTTTAACCTGCAATAATTTAAATGCAATGTCAATCGCTATCTACTGTCCTCAGGATTACTCTTTCCTCTTCCGGCTCATTATTAATGTTTCTGTTCCTAATTCTTCCACACCCTATAACCCCTTGTGTCTTAGTGGCTTTACTGCCTTTCTTGTGGAACTCCCTTCCAATTCCATGCTTTCCAACCAACTTTAATCTGCAATAATTCAAATGCAATATCAACCACTATCTACTGTTCTGATTACACTTTCCTCTTCCCACTCATTATTAATGTTTCTATTCCTAATTCTTCCACACCCTGTAACCCCTTGTGTCTTAGTGGCTTTACTGCCTTTCTTGTGGAACTCCCTTCCAATTCCATGCTTTCCAGCCAACTTTAATCTGCAATAATTTAAATGCAATATCAACCACTATCTACTGTTCTGATTACTCTTTCCTCTTCCGGCTCATTAATAATGTTTCTGTTCCTAATTCTTCCACATCCTGTAACCCCTTTTGTCTTAGTGGCTTTACTGCCTTGCATGGGGTGACACCGATTAAAAAAGCAAAACCAAAGCAAAAAGATTTTTTCTACCTACTAAGGAGAAAAAAGGAAAATGTTCAAATTAACTTCAATGGATAACTTTGATTTTTTTAAATCCCATAAATGATTCAATTGGCGTTAGAGGTTTGGAAGTATTTGTTTATCGTCTAAACTATATGAAGTAACGCGGGACCAATACAGATCCGGATATTTTGGTATGGGAGCGGAAGCAGAAAATATTTGTGAAACGTTTACATTTTTCAAGAAAAGGTTTAGAAGGATTTTAATATAGATTAAGTAAAATTGGATGTTTATTTTATTCTCAAGGGAAATTTAATCCGTGAGAAAGCTAAGTTCGGTTTAAAGACACAGTACCCTAGAGCAGCAATCCTCAGCCTTTTTACGCAACGAATCGGTGTCATGCAAGGCAGTTTTCCCACAGACCCGGTGTATATGGGGTGGGGGTCAGTCACGCGCATAACAAAACACAAATAAGATCGCGATAGTCAATAAAATGAAAAAAAAAAATGTATTTTTTCTATGCGGCACTGTACCAAATGGTCCACGGCTCGGCACCAAATTGTCCACGGCCCGGTGTATAGAGACCACTGCCCTAGAGAACTGATATCATTAATATTTGCAAACGGAACAGTGTAATATCCCCAAACAAGAATGAACAAATCAGGGATAGATTTCTAATAGGTCTATAAAGCAAAGTATTGTTTGATCGGTTACTTACTGTTAAGTCCAGATTTGAAACTCGAAAAAAGCTATTAAAATAGTGGGAAGCTGTTATTTCATTCTTTTTCATTTCCAGTCACCCTTTGCATCTTAGTGGCCTTATCACTTTGTTATGGATGAATTAATTTTAAAAATGTCAGAGGAGAAACGGAGGAAATGGTAAGAAGAGAAAGGAAATATACCCAGAAAAATGGGAAATGCAGTATGGTACAGACACTATAGCCGACAACATCCCTGGGGACAGTGTTTAGCAAAATATAAGATTTGCAGAAAATCCATTCATTTAAATCATTTTGTAGTGTGTTACAGAAGAAAATCGGGAAGAATGTATTCGATCAGAGTGGGTGTATAAAATGTAGGTACTGAGAATATCTGTCGAAGTGATAATGTCAAGTCGTACAACAGCGAGGAGAATTCAATTTCCAGTTTGCCAAAAGTAAAAAATAAAAGTGGAACGCTTACACATAATGTGATGGCGTAATTGAAAAGTTACCAAACCGACAGATTTGCGTGAACCGAATGTTCTAGCTAAGTAGAAACAATGGCAACATATGTTAATGTGTTGATTGAAAAGGTTCAGCTTTTAAAATACAAAGGAGAATCTGCAATGTTATTGGTCTTGACCTGACATCTCAGCTTCAGCCACTTCCCCATTGCCATAACGTAGCTTCACTGTGCCGTTTCTATAAATACTTTCATGGTAATTGTTATGATGAGCTTTCCTCTATGGTACCTAGACTTTACGAAATTAAGCGCAGTACTAGATTGGCATTTATGTCTCATCATTTAACAGTTGGAATGGCTAAATGTAAACGTAAGTTTTACGCTAACAGTTTCTTTTATCGCACTTCTCGCTTTTGAAATTCTTTTCCGGTTTCTTGCTTCCCAGTCCACTTTGATCTTCAAAAATGTAAATGCAATGTCAATCGTCATCTTTTTGTCTTTTTAATTCCTTTTTTTTAATTGCTTTCTCTTATTAATAATATTTTTATTGTCCTCATGTCCTTTCATGCTAAGTAACTGCTGTTTTTAGCAGATATACAAAAAAAGGAAGCCTAAGATCAAGATATCTAAAAGTTAGATCACGCGAACAGACATAGATAGCTAGATAGGAACGTACTGAAATCAAGAGAAAGAGAGATGAACAGAATAATTAGATAGATAGATAGATAGATAGATAGATAGATAGATAGATAGATAGATAGATAGGAACGGATTGAGAAAGAGAGATGAACAGACTAATTAGATAGATAGGAATGGACTGAAACCAAGAGAAAGAGAGATGAACAGACTGATTAGATAGATAGATAGATAGATAGATAGATAGATAGATAGATAGATAGATAGATAGATAGATAGGAACGGATTGAAATCAAGAGAAAGAGAGATGAACAGACTAATTAGATAGATAGGAATGGACTGAAATCAAGAGAAAGAGAGATGAACAAACTGATTAGATAGATAGATAGATAGATAGATAGATAGATAGATAGATATAGATAGATAGATAGGAACGGATTGAAATCAAGAGAAAGAGAGATGAACAGACTGATTAGATAGATAGATAGATAGATAGATAGATAGATAGATAGATAGATATCAAGATAGATATATAGATAGATAATAGATAGATAGGAAACGGATTGAAATCAAGAGAAAGAGATGAACAGACTAATTAGATAGATAGATAGATAGATAGATAGATAGATAGATAGATAGATAGGAACGGATTGAGAAAGAGAGATGAACAGACTAATTAGATGAATAGGAATGGACTGAAACCAAAAGAAAAGAGAGATGAACAGACTGATTAGATAGATAGATAGATAGATAGATAGATAGATAGATAGATAGATAGATAGATAGATAGGAACGGATTGAAATCAAGAGAAAGAGAGATGAACAGACTAATTAGATAGATAGATAGATAGATAGATAGATAGATAGATAGATAGATAGATAGATAGATAGGAACGGATTGAGAAAGAGAGATGAACAGACTAATTAGATAGATAGGAATGGACTGAAACCAAGAGAAAGAGAGATGAACAGACTGATTAGATAGATAGATAGATAGATAGATAGATAGATAGATAGATAGATAGATAGATAGATAGATAGATAGGAACGGATTGAAATCAAGAGAAAGAGAGATGAACAGACTGATTAGATAGATAGATAGATAGATAGATAGATAGATAGATAGGAACGGATTGAAATCAAGAGAAAGAGAGATGAACAGACTAATTAGATAGATAGGAATGGACTGAAACCAAGAGAAAGAGAGATGAACAGACTGATTAGATAGATAGATAGATAGATAGATAGATAGATAGATAGATAGATAGGAACGGATTGAAATCAAGAAAAAGAGAGATGAACAGACTAATTAGATAGATAGGAATGGACTGAAATCAAGAGAAAGAGAGATGAACAAACTGATTAGATAGATAGATAGATAGATAGATAGATAGATAGATAGATAGATAGATAGATAGATAGATAGAACTGAAATACTTTTGTCTTCTTACAGACCGCAAGTACCTTTAAAATACACAAAATCTAGATAATACTTCTTTGAGGTGCCAAAGGCTATTAATGAGATTCAAGATATATTTATTGCGGGTATTATCTTTTCTTAGCTAATGCTTTTAAATGTAACTCCCTAAACTAGATTCAAACAAAGACACATGGTCATGCTGCCTGAAAGTAACATGTGATATTATTGTCTGCTGTTCCCATTAATCCTAATAGTCGTAGAAAGCAGATCTGGAGAGAAAGAGAGAGAGAGACTGTATACAACTAAGAAATAAATAACAAAAACAATGTATAAGGAAATAAATAATAAGAAAGAAATGTACAAGTGTGGTTGGTCTTTAAAATGTCCGTACCTGAAATTTACAATTGCATGAATCTTTTTTCACGGCGAAATAATATGTCCTGGTTTAAAGGCTGCATATAAAAACTTTAATTCCCTATCAAATATTAGCTCTTGTGCCAAATACAAAAACCTGGCTGGTAGGAATAGAATGGGAAAAGAGAACATATGCTCCTCTTTTCCTTGGGGACAAAATAGGCGCAAATAACAAAATAAAACTCAACCACTGAATTTTGAAGCAAAAATATTTATTACACAAGACAGAAAATTACAAATACAAAATTTGCACAAAAATGTCCTTTTGTGCGCCAATTAAGGCAGGATAACAAATTTCTAATGTTTTGAAAAAGGATTATCACTGGGATGGAGTTACATTTTAGGAAAAGACAAAGATTCAATGATAAAAAAGAAAACAATTCAAGAAGGCAGAAAAACAAATATGCAACCACCTTTCAGAAAAAAAAACCAAAAAAAAACCTGAAAACACCTACTTTTACTGGCCCCACGATCGTCTCTTGGACATAGTAATTTTAGAAAAATCCCTTTTATATTCACATTGTTCGTGTCTGGGAAAATTTCTTAGAATTCTTTTTGTTCTTTGTTGTCGACTTGAACTTCAAAATTCTTTAGTCTCTCTACAGCTGGCTTGTAACCTTGTTCCTTCCTGTTGTCCTCTTCTTGATGTCAAATGCCTTCTGATCTTTGAATTCATTTTGCCCTGTCTCCTTGCTGTCAAAAATTCTTCTCCCTCCGTCCACTGATCTGAGTTGTATCTATTCCGAAATTATGCTCACAGAAGTTCCCCATTCGGGTTTTACAATAGCTTGTGACCACATTTCTCATTGGTCAGTTTATGTGAAAAAATTATTTTCCATAAACTTGAAATAGACCCTTCACAACTTTGGTGGTTTTAAACCGCTGAGCCGAAAAAGATTTACAAGTGTAACAATTTTTTGACACAAACCATCTGGCCTTTTTAAAAATACACTTCTCTTAAAAGAAAATGTACAAAAAACAACACCTAGATAATTAAACACTTATTTAAGACTAACATTTTAAAAAAAGTAAAAATAAATTTTTATATGCATTATGGGACGCCAATACGATGTCTTTCTACAGTAACGTACTGATGAAAAAGGTCGAGCCTCGTTATAAATATCGGGAGATAAAACCAAAAAAAGAAGGAGAAAAGACTCGCTGCTCACTTATATACTTTCCTGTGAGCAATTTTCATTGGTTCCGTGTTAGCCTATGTAATATCTATTTTGGACCATGAAAATAAGCGTGACATGCATATTTTGACCGCTAAACTTCACATATTCAATAACAGAACATATACGTAATAAATTACTCCTAGTAGCATTTCTGCAGCCCCTGAAATAAAACGGATAGTAATACAAGTACAGACGTAGACTTATACAAAGATTAGTAGAAATCAGAATAGCATCAGGCAGAACACTTTGTGTGATCAGAAATACTACATTTGCTGACAAAATTCTTCAAGAAGTAATACTGTGGACTCTTCTAATTTTAACCTTCTCCAACCTTAAAAAAGCATAATCCATATTATACGCCTGCAAAGAATCAATTCTATTGATCGCCTCCCAAAGCAAGAATTGCGCCAAATATCTTGAGCCACTTTTCGAAAACCCAAAAGGTTATAAAAGGAGAAAAAGACAACCCAGTCAGTCAGTCTAGCTCACTTTTTTGAGCGACTGCACGGTTCAACTCTCTGTCTCCGGATTTGAGAGGAACCCGAAGGGAGGACGCTGAAGGGCGAAGTCTCCTTCGGGAGGTTAACGGCCCTGAACCCGTTTATACGGGTTCAAATGGGCTATTTTTTGGCTGAGCCTAATGGGCTCGGGAATGCCCACATTAAAAAGGCTTCATGACACCCTCGTAGAAATCTCAGTCTATCGCACTGCACGGTTCAACTTCTCTGTCTCCGGATTTGCCCGAAGGAGGCTACGCCGAAGGGCGAAGTCTCCTTCGGGAGGTTAATCGGCCCTGAACCCGTTTATACGGGTTCAAATGTGACTGAATATCTCAGTCTAGCGAACTCGCCGATCGATTGCCTAATTCTTTTTGACGAACTTCAACTGACTCACCTGAAACACTCAACGAACAACCAATCGAAACTTTGAACAATATTTCTTAGTTTATTCATTACTAAAATAAGAAATACGAATCACGAAAACAAACACAGACACGTTCAAAGGTAGACTTTATTATATATTTCAACACAAACACAAAATAACAAACATAACGACACAGAGACATCCAACATTTCAGCAAATGTATTTGGTTAACGCACGCAACAATACAAATAATATTAACCTTGTTTGTAAAATATGTAATGGTATATAAATGTTTTATTTGTTTCGATCTATAAATGTCTCTGTTTTATTTGTTTGTTTGAAATTCATGTTATATATTTGTTTGGGACAAGGTTTAGACACACAACTATCCGAACAAAATCCTTCTGATTAATAAGAACCAAAAGTCCCAACAATACATCCGGCTTAGGGAGCAGTTATGGGACTAGTTGATTTATGGGGGCGCAGAATTATTCTAACTCTGTATAAGATAATGTTACTAATTATTCTGGGTACTGTCCAGAATAAAGGAATCTTAAACCAACGTACAACACAATGGTGAAGCAAAGCAAATGAATTTAGAATAAAAATTTGTTTATCAACAAATAACAATTTATTTGGATAATTTATACATCATATGGTGAATATAATAAGACCATTGAAAAGAAGGAAAAGTTCACATGTAAAAGGGAAGCTATGTCACAAAGGAAAAAATAAAAAAATATATCCTTGCAGGCGAAATAAACAGAAAACAGGTGTTTCTTCAGGGTCTATTTCTATGTTGTTTATATCGTCCTTTGTACAGAAATATTAGTTCTTGGTATAGAAGTATTAACCATTTCCACTTTGAATTCTATCGTGACACTTTTCTCAATTTAGCTAAGTCAGGAACAAGGCCTAAGTCGAAGGTTCTCTGGTAGCAAGTCACGTGAGATTTCACAATGTAGTCATCGCTCGTCGTCTGCACGTCGGAACTGGTGTGTCTGGAACTACTGACTTGCTCGCTTCTGTGTTCTTATATTGACTTTCATCCAAAACTGGCATGGGGTCGGCGTGGTTAGGAGACTCGGTATTTCCCCTAGCTTACTACAAGAGCCCCTTTGTTTTTTGGCACTGGAAAATTAATTATATCTCCAAATCAAGAGAGATCTCTTTTCCTATGGGTAGCGGTCACAGAGTATCGATCTGCCTCGATAACTCCTTCCTTCTCTTATTTGTGCTTTGTACCAACACCTCCCAATGGGCGTTGGTAATTCCCCCGTCTTCCTCCTCTCATAGTATTTCATCTTCTGTTGTCACCTTGGTTGTCCGTTTGGCGAATATGACTCTCAACCCGCTTAGCGTGACTTAGTTTCTGGTCATTAATTAGAATTATCATTTTAATTTCCCGTCAGTAAATTTTTCCAGACTGGTCTTGCTCATAAAATCAGAAATTTACCAGCTGCTTCCACCGGTCTCTCATCTCTCTATCCTGTTAGGGTTATTTCACTTTAAGAACACAGGATTGGGCCCTTTCATAAAGAAATTCTATTTTCTCGTCTTGTGTTTACAAATTACCAAATATTATCTCAATTGATCTCTTGTGCAATCAGGAGACATGTTTTTGTAAGTCCCACTTTAAGCAACGCTATCAATCATCTGTCATCCCAGCTTCCTCCGGGTGGTCTTCTTGGCAATATCAAAATAACAAAGTCGTTTCCTTCAAACCGTGTTTACTTAAAAATAAACAGACTTTTAAAATGAAAAGAAATCTCGATTCTTTCTCTCAGTCTGTCTATCTTTCTATTCTTTAACCCTTTTCGTCTTGCTCCAAGCTTATATTTTTTTTAACTTAACCCTTTTCTTTCCGTTTGCCAGTGTCACATATGTGTGTTCAATAAAAAAAAACCTTTGAAAGGAGAATGTTACATACACACAAATGGGTGTGTTTAAATAAAAATAATAAATGGAAGACACATTTTCAGGTGTGTTTAGTAAAATACATGAAAATGGAAAAGTACAAAGATAAACGTTACGGTGTGTTTAATAAAATCCATGAAAATGGAAACGTTCCAAGATAAAACACACATTGAGGTGTGCTTGAAAGTTAATAGACCAGACATACATTGTGTTTAATAAAATACCTTAAAAGGAGAAAAGTTCATAAACAAGACACACATTGACGTGTGTTTAATAAAACCCCTTTTAGGAGGGAAAGTTAATACCTTAGATCCATTGTTGAATCTACATTAGAGAAGCGGGAAATGTGTAAGTAGATTAGTAAATCGGTCGAGTTGACAACGTGGAATCCATTCGCCAACTTCCCCTTGCTTGCTTTATGATCTGTATTTATAGCTTTCCTTAAGTAGGTGCTGGCTCACAAAAAAGTCCCACGAAAACGCGAAAGAAATGCTGTCATTGGTCGATTAATAATTTATATTATATTTTGAATATTTTCAACGCTACCGGAAGTGACAATCGGAACCTATGCGTAAATAACTGATTTTGGTCATTCGACTACTAACTCTTGATATGGAAATTTCCGGTCGATCCGACATATCTGATAATATACGTGTGGCCAGAAAAAGAACAAAGGCTGAAAGAATGGATTAAATTATTTCATGCTCAAAGAATGGACTATGCTTAAGGAATGGATTAAGTTATTCTAAATTATTAAAATATGTCTCAATGAGTTACCAGTATAACAGAATTTCTTATTTTGTTAGGACTGTATAGCAATACCTGGATCACTTAAGACTAAAACTTTACAAGCAATATATATTGATTATACAGACCTAAATAAATATAATAGACAAGCTATAGCATCAGTATGGTGGCTAAGAATATCCCATGAAAATTCTTCTTGTAATCACCATCACCTTTTGAATCCTCATGAAATTTTAGAACTATTACCAGAGAGATTGTTAAAACGAGTTGAACCTGCAGCTTTGCATTGAGCAATGATCGATACTTGGTAGTAATTAATTAATTATTTTTTAAGGTATATAAAAATGCCACGTCTAGACCCAATATTATCGGCAGGTTAAAGATATATTTGCTAGGTGGTATATTGAGAATATACAACAAAAATATTAAACACTATTCATTAGATTCTTTATTTAAAAGAATAATTTTATATTTACGACATTAAAAACGAATACAATTAAATAAATACAACGCAAAATTTATCCTTTATATATATATTATATAAAGAAATAAATATGAAAGTTTTTATTCATAAATTTATAAACATTTAAAAAATTATTAAACTTATACTATATAGAGATGAAGTAAAGGCCAAATTTACTGTCTATAGTACCGTTTATTGTTGATTCCATTTCGTTACAGTGTTTAAAATAGTTGACTATCGTCATAGTTCTTCTTTTTTGTGATTTGAGAGTTCATATAGGGTTGTTGTGTTCCTTCTGGTTGACAGAAATTAATTCGTTGCATTCATCTTTTCTTCTTTCTATTCTGGAGTTGTACGTCAGGTCAAACTTACAGCCGATTAATCACCAACCCTTGCGTCTCGAACTGCTACCTCGAATCAAGTTTCTCTTCACTGCGGCTTCTCTAGTCTCGTACGTGGTTTTCTTCTTTTTATTGGGGTTGACACATCCGTGTTTCCTGTTTGATTTTTGGTGGGATGTGTTGTCAATTGCTGATTTTTTTTTATGACGTTCACTGACCCACATAAACTAAGTCGGGGTTCATGTCCGTTACCGAGGAGAGGAACAATAGAAGGAAGGAAAGGAAAGGAAATATATAGACGAGAGGGAAAGGGAGTTTTCTTTGTCACTCACTTAGTAAAGAGGAAAGTGTATATTTTCGTATGGTGTTATTACTACCTAATTCTACTAAAAACTATTTGAATCTATGAGTAAATGCTTATTATTTACCATTTTTCGAATCAGTTGGCGATGTCTTGCCAAACATTCCAATAAATAATATAATTAATAAATAGTGCAAAAAAAACAAACAATCTAATTAATAAATAAATAGTGTTTATAATTTTGTTATCAATTCTTAAGAACAAAGCAAAATGTATAAATTCACTTTCATATGTAGGATTTATTACTGTTCTTATCATCGCTTTTTAAAACAATGAACATTATCGAAGTGAAGAACTTTAAAATAAAAGCCGTGGCATGGGGGAAAAACTGCTTTTTACAATGTTTGTTACCTTGGAAAGTGCTCAGACGAACTATATTCCTTGGTTCCGCTAGGTCTGACCTTCACTGCTACGACTCTCCATGCCACTTTGCACTTTGAAGCAAACCACCCACATCCCTTTCCACTCGAAGAGCTTCTTCTTGAGAACCACTGCCCCATAGAACAGACTCTCAAGAGGCTGTTTCCACGATCACTAAAATCAGTTCAAAAGCGCCTCCGAGTCCTTCTGGGTGATGAATTATTTTCCATCCACCAACCGCTCTCTCTCTCTCTCTCTCTCTCTCTCTCACACACACACACACACACACACACACACACACACACACACACACACACACACACACACACACACACACACACACACACACACATACGCGGGATGTGGAGAGCCTATCACTGCTCTATCGCTACTACCATGGAAAGTGCTCGGACGAACTATATTCCTTGGTTCCGCTAGGTCTGGCCTTCACTGCTACGACTCTCCATGCCACTTTGCACTTTGAAGAAAACCACCCACATCCCTTTGCACTCGAAGAGCTTCTTCTTGAGAACCACTGAGAAGTAGGTATTCGTAGTGCGTGAACTGTTATAGTGAGTGCAATTTTCTGTATTTCTTTAAGGCATGGGCTACCAGTAATCCCTTCAATGAGTCTATCGGAACCTTTTCCAATCAATCCGAGGGCTCCAACTACAACTGGAATTATTGATGTCCTCATGTGCCACATTTTTGAGATTTCCACTTCAAGATCCTTGTATTTTGATAGTTTTTTGAAGATCTTCAAAGATACATTACAATCTGAAGGGACTGCCATTGTCAATAAGAAAGCACATTCTGTTTTTGTGATCTTGGCTATTTCTTTAAGGCATGGGCTACCAGTAATCCCTTCAATGAGTCTATTGTAACCTTTTCCAATCAATCCAAGTGCTCCAACTACAACTGGAATTATTGATGTCCTCATGTGCCACACTTTTGAGATTTCCATTTCAAGATCCTTGTATTTTGATAGGTTTTTGAATATCTTCAAAGATACATGACAATCTGCAGAAACTGCTATGTCATTAAAAATGCACATTCTCTTATGTAATTTAGGCAGAATTTTTTATTCTTTAAAAATATATAAGCAATAGTTTAAGAATACAATTTTTTATTCTTCAAACAAGTCTTTATTCAACAGTAAGGTGGGATTTAAAAATCGCAATGAAAAATTGAAAGTAATTTTAAAAAATAAAATTTATGTCTAATTTTTTTTTCATGGACAATCTATTCTATAAAATAAAGTAAGTACCATATCTCAAAAAATATCTTTTGAGATTTGTATGGCTAGGGGCGAGTTTTCAGTATGTTCACACTTGATATTGCATAAATCTTTTATAAAATTTTCAGAGATTTTTCTTTATATAAGTGGAAAAGATTTCACACGAACATACCCTAAAAATTAAAAAAAAAGTAAACACAATATTATCGAAAAGTGTGAAACTGTCCTCCCAATATTTTTACAACGTTTTCTAATAAATTAACCTCTGACGTATACAATTCATAGATTACTGAATAAATACGGAAAATTTCGTATGACTCGGATAATTGCATTGGTAGTGAGTTTTTGCATTCATTTCGGGGAAAAAACGCATCCATTTTACTTCGAGATTATAAAGGATGATATTTACATTTGTAAACAAAAGAAAAGAAAAGAAAAGACAAAGAAATTAGGATCAAAACGTAAATCTTTGTCAGAAGACATTGATGGAATAGTCCATACATACCTTTTCACCCCTCCGGAATAATACACTCTACCACAAAATTACCTATTAACCAATCAACACCAGTGAACTAGACTTTTCATTGGCTCAAACTGTAGCAAATTCACGCAAAATATCTTTTCGCGACCAGCCGTTTGGAGCCGATTCCTACTTCCAGAACAAAATAAAGAGGAAGCGTTCAGATCGATTCAGGCAGTCAGAATTTCATCCTGGAGAAGTGCCAAACGAATCTACGCCAGTAAAAATCATAACCAGCTACAAATTTGCCGCGCAATTTTCTCTGACTCAATACACGCAGCATTTCGCTCTACCAGGAACAATTTCTTACAATACTAAAAAGTGATAATAATTCACTACTAACAAGTATTCGTAAATATTCAATCAAATATCTAAACAATCCAAGGTAAACAACTCTGGAGAATTTAGACAATCAAACTCCTACTTTATTCTCGCATGCAAACTACACAAATTTCTGTATAAATAATATTTTTCACTTAATTCTGTTTGACCAGTTCTTAAACACTCAATAAGAAACCCAATTACCAATGGTCAATTTCTTGCATTATCAAACTACAAGTTTTCAAAATGCATGTTGTTTTATTGTAATCTCATAATCGGTGTTTCTTACTCAATTGCCTTGTAAATGATTCGTTTTTGAATGTCTATATTCTATACTCGCAGTAGAGCCCGGCATTGCCCGGGGATGTAACAGTAAGAGATAGATCAAGTATCGACCATCATAAAGACTGAAAAATAAAATTAACAAAGATTATTGGTTGAGGTTGACGGACACGCATGTCTTAATTATTTTTTTTTGTTTTTTTTTACGAATTGGTCAAACCCAAACTCAAACAAAAACATTGTTTTCAATCGTTATGAGTCTACCGATTGAATAGAATTTTATTATAAACAATTGTCTTATAAATGGAATTTTTAAAGCATTCTGAATGTAAAAATAAAGATAAAAAGTGTACAAGACGATAAGAAACACTACCTGTCAAAAAAAGTGAAGTTTTGTTGAAATCGGTTGAAAAATGTAGGAAATCCGATCCCATATATAAACGAACACACACACAAACAAACAACCTGGGTTTTATAATAAGTATAACTCGATATGAGTTGTCCCCCTTTCATTCTCACGATGTCTCTTAATCGTGTTTTCAAATTGATTTCGTGCAAAAACAATTGTGTTTTTCCAATTTTTGGCACTGTCAGAACCACCGCAATGTAATTTTACGTAGTCCTGTGAAGTTTTGTTGAAATCGGTTGAAAAATGTAGGAAATCCGATCCAATATATAAACGTACAGACACACACACACACACACACACACACACACACACACACACACACACACACACACACACGCACACACACACACACACACGCACACACACAACCTGAGTTTTATAATAAGTATGATTATTGTGGATTAATATGGTGAACGTGCCTGTAAACTAACTTCTGATAACAAATTCAAACTCATAGCAATCCCAACAACATGAAAACATAATCAGCAGAAAAGAAAATAGTTTTCAACCAATAAAAATAAGGAATCCGAACCCTAGAAAATTAATCATTTATGAGACTTATAGAAAAAGGGATCTTGTAAATGCTGCTTATGTTGAAAAGATTAATGTGGCTGCGTGTTGAAGAGCATTTAACATTTATACATTATTGAATCAAGGAAAAACAATGAAAAACCGATTTTTGTTTCAACGATAAAATATATATTAAAATCAACAAATACAAAACAATTTTTGTAATGTGTGAATATTAAGGAGGAAAAAAGTAGTTTCCCTTTATCTGTTATCTTGAATAAGATATGTAATTAAAGATGTTTCTTGAATAGAATGTTCAAAGTTCTATGTTGAAATAGAATGTTGCATTCAGAAGAACATACAGTTAATTCGGTTGTGTGTTATTTGTATAACTAACAGTGTTGTTTTGTAACTTGGCTTGTTCACAGAGAACTGATGGCGAAATGTAATTCAAGTTCTGTGTCTGTGTGCGCAGTGAGTAGAATCGATAGTTCGTGTAGACGCGTGTGAGTTGCTGAATTCTACTGTCTATTTTTGGAACGAAACGTTGCTTTTATAACTACTGGTAGGATCCAGGAACAAAGGCGGGAGAAATTTGAACGAACACAGAAAATATATGAGTGGATGAAAAATTAACCAATCGGTGATTTTTTAACAAAAGCATGTTTGTGAGCGTGGCAAACGTAGTAGTAGTCACTACAATCTAAATAAGAAAATCTCAACTTTATTTGTCAGCATTTGAATATCAACATGATTGTATGGTGCAATCTACTTAAAATGCCATATCATCCTTTATCATACAAACATCAGAACAAGAATAGAATTCATATTCAGGTTTTTGTATAATTTATGTTATCTACTTTATGTTATCTTGTTATCTTGTTTATTTTCGCTCGTGATTAATTCATTTACTACGGTTTTGTTATATACCGTACCTATAAGTACCAATGGGTATGTCCCAATCCTCATAAATACGTTGGACACTATTGCAAGTCGGGATAATATGCTGTCTAAGTAATCCATCACTAGCAGTGGTTTACCTACTTCACTCTGCTGGTGAGTATTGTATTTTGTCAATGTTATAAAGATTACCATTTCATTTCCAACCTCCATTTTGGTTATTCCTCATTCAGTAACCTTTTCTAGGTTACAGCAGATTTATCAACCCTTTGCAGGTTATTTAAAATCAGAAAATATTTTTAGATTCTAATTTTTTTTTTTTTTGAGATAATAATGGTTTAGCGATACAAGTCTTACAAATTAACCCATAGCTTGGGGAAAAGAGGCGCATTCATGCATAATCAGAATCTGATAAACTATAATGTGGACATAAAGTGAGGGATATAATTCTATATTACAATCAGTATATAAACTGATCCCTCACTTTGTGGCCACGGTAGTTTTCATATATATATATATATATATATAAAAGAGAATGGAAATAAATCTCAAAAACATACTTGTGTTGCTCATATTTAAATCATTGACTCGGTTTCTACGGCTTATCAACCCTTTGCAGGTTATTTAAAGACAGTCAAAAAATATTTTTAGATTCTAAGAATAGAGATAATAATGGTTTAGTAATACAAGTTATACAAATTAACCCATAGCTGGGGGAAGAAAAGGTGGATTCATATCTTTCCCAAGAGTATTTTCATGTAAGTTAATATAACGAACCCAATGGGAATTGGAACTCGGTTCTCCGATTAACAATTCCGAGCTATTATTTATTACACTATCCGCGCATCCAAGCTTACAGCACCCGCTATTCTTAAGCGGCCAGCCATCTAGGTACTGACCTGGCTCGACGTTGCTTAACTTCAGTGATCATACAGAAACTGGTGTTTCAACGGGATGTGACCGTAAGCATTATAAATTAGAGTAGAATGCAACGTCTATTTGATAATTATATTTTTACGTCTATTTAAAAATAAATTCAACATCTGCATTGCCAAAGTGATTTATTATTGCCCTTCCTCGGACACACACTGACACCGGTAGGATTCGGCTTTCGCAATACTTCGCCTTCGCCCACTTACTACTTTGAGAAAACAGCGTATCGATTACAATTACATTAGAATTTTAAATAACTGTTGTAAATCTTTCCAACTTTCGATTTTTAACGCATGACATGGGACTAGTTATTTTGTCACGTTTTAAGGTAGGGCTACCCACAAATTTTACCAATTGTAGTATTTTTACAGGGTTTTATTTTTACAAAATACAATGAAGAAAGAATTACAAGAAAGAAAAATCTATCAAAGGTACTGGAAATTTTTAATTTTTTTTTTTTTTTACCGTTGGCAGCATAAGGCTAAATTCTAAATTTTAAATTCTAATTTTTTTGGTCCCCACAAAAACATTTGTCTCTGCTATATCCCTATAAGGTGACATCCACCTCAATAACAAATGTCCCCATAAATTCATAATTAAGTTCGGATTGGAAATTTAATTTTTTTTATAAGCATTTCACCCCAGGCAAGGTGGGAGTGCCACTAGCACTCAAGGGGTTACAGTGGGAGAGAGTGCGAGCAAGAGTAAAGAGGTGTGATAGAGGAAAGGATGAAGAGAAGGACGGGGAATAGATCAAGGCATCTGGAGATGTCGATTGACATTATATTTGAATAGTTGGACATTATAGCTATCAGGGAAGCAAATAAGAAGAAGAGAGTTCCACAGACAGGAGGTGTGAGACATGAAGCTATTAAAGTAGAAGAGATGGCTACATTTAACCGTTTCAACAGTGAAAGGGTGGGACCGAGATGCCAACCTAGTAGCACATTTAAATTCATGCAGTTTGGGAACTAGCAAAAGTAGCTCGTCAGAGCAGTTACCGTGAAAGTATTTGTAGAAAAGACAGAGGGAAGCGACGGCACGTTTGTGAGAGAGTGACTGCAAACGAGATGCCAGATCAGAGCCAATCATATTGCTGAGCGAATTTTATTGCTTAGCTGATATTTTTATTTAATTCATATGTTGGTATCCTATTTATATGACAGGTTGTATGGGGATGTATCGTCACTGGTAGTAACTTTACAGCGAAGTGATCGACCCTGTTTTACTCAAGTGAGTTGGGATACGGAACTGTACTGGTCCGCGGCCTGTATCCACACACGTCTCCAATAAGTCACAGATAAACTGTGTGTGAGGGTAGTAGGAAGGGTTTCTCGACCAGACTGGTGAAAGGGAATACATCTCGTCAACCCATCTTTGCTAACCGACTATCTACAATTCATCTGTGCATTGAATACTGTTGTCAAATCTGGTCTGTTGCTCCTATTATATACCTCAAGATTCTTGGCAAAATTCAAAAAAGGGTCTATAATGTAATCGATCCTGGCCTGGCATCTCAACTTCCGTCATGTGACGTAGCCTCCCTTTGTCTTTTCTACAAATATTTTCATATTGTTCTGATGGGCTGTTCTCGACTGCATGAATTTAAGCGTGATACTGGCCTTGGCAACTAGATCTCAACGTTTTACTGCTGAACTAGCTAGATGAAGTATTTTCTATTCTAATAGTTTCTTTTCTAGTACTTCTCGCCTGTGGAACTCCCGATTTCTTCTTCGCTGCTATATTTAATCTTCAAAGATTTAAACACAGCGTCAATCGCCATCTTCTGTCTTCGTGAATCATGTTCCTTTATTCTCCTCACTTCTCTTCGCTAAAGTTTTCTCATTCTCTTTCACTCCCTATAACCACTTACATCCTAGTGGTATCATAGCCTTGCTTGGGGATGATTAATAAAACAAATGGCTACTTACTTATGTGATGAATCTAGAATCATTTGAAACCATACCGACGAGAATAAAATGTCTTCATACAAGATATAATATTGTCATTGGAAAAAAAATTCCATTTGAGGTAGGTTAGCTGTCACCGATCATAGTAAACCAAATGAAGAACTGACTATAGATTTAGGTACATTAGCCAATGAATGTTTCATTGCTCGTGAAATTTTGATTTTGTTTCTTGTGCAACTATAATATACAAAATGATACTTTTCATTATTATTATTATTATATTAAAGTAACCAGTATAAAGTTAACAAACTATATAATTTTATTTGGCTCTAGCTATAACGTAAATCAAGAATAGTAAAGAAGGTAATTTTGGTAAACATAGGCATTGATCTAAATTTTTCATGTACCAATTACATCTGACTAGCTGGCGAGGAAGAAAGAATATTAAAGTAGATATCTGTCTATATTTCTGAGATGAGGTATTATGTACACTATTTACATTATTCGGACTATTGTCCTCGTCTTTGTCCTCAAGGACACATGGTACAGTGGATAAAGGCGTTAGTTAGATCCAGTGACAGGACCCAAAGAGTGTGAGTTCAATAACTGGTTAAGGCGGTGGAGAACTTGGAGAGGGAAATTAAGAGATTACTGATAACTGACGTCCATTAGACATGGCACGTGGAACTAGAATAGTCTACCGCAGTGAGTGGAATAAAGGGTTCAGTTCGACATTCCAACGATCTGAAGAAGGCCAGAGCGTACAACGGCCGAAACGTTGGGATAAATATGGCAACAAAGATGGGGGCAATAGTCCGAATAATATTTAAGTAGATACTTTTGCTTTGAAAAATCGTTCGTCATATTTTCTTGTTGGTATTAAAAAACAATAAGAAAACTCAACAGTAATTGTTCTCTTATAAAGTAAAGGTGATAAGGATTTTCTCAGATATATCAAAATGGGATATAGTTACTTTATAAGCAGCACACAGACGATTGACTGTAGAGGATATATGCTGCAGCAGAAGCCAACTAGCACCTTAGAAATCAATGCTTTTTTTTAAAAAATGAATTTCTCTCTTCTTTTCCTTCGCCTTCATATAGGGCTACCGACCCTATCAGAAAAGCGATTCTCTACAGCTGGTCAGTTATATGACCTTTTGTTTTAGAAATGTAGATATTTGAAATAGGATTCTATTGTTTCCAAAAGCTTACGTTTTCCCAAATGTTTTATTTCTTAATTTTATAGAATAAATATTTTTTAAACTATCACAAACGGTCATCTGTTTGCTTTCTTTCTTTTTAGTTGAAAACAGTTTATAGATTGTATACGTAGCTCCATGGTATATATCTAATGCATTTCGCTGGTGACCTGAATTACGAACGAAAAACGCAGTTTTTTTTTATTGTAACCTGTCGGTATACGAACGTAAGGAATCGTTCACAAAAGCTTGCCAGTTAATAATACACATTTGCAAAAATAATATCAAGATAAAATTCGCTATAACCGAGGGTCAAGTCTATTTAATTTAACAGTCTACTCGCTACGGAAACTGAATGCGACCATGTCTACGAATTTTGATTGTCTTAGAAAAACTGAATATACATGCGGGCCTCTATCAGCAAAACTTATTATCTGACCTGCTGCTGCTATTCGAACTGCAAATGGGCCATCACTTTTTTAACACTTTGACTCTCAGCGCTGTTGTTAAAAATGCGACCGTGTCTACGAATTTTGCTTGTCTTAGAAAAAACTGAATATACATGCGGGCCTCTATCAGCAAAACTTATTATCTGACCTGCTGCTGCTATTCGAACTGCAAATGGGCCATCACTTTCTTTAACACTTTGACTCTCAGCGCTGTTGTTAAAAATGCGACCGTGTCTACGAATTTTGCTTGTCTTAGAAAAACTGAATATACATGCGGGCCTCTATCAGCAAAACTTATTATCTGACCTGCTGCTGCTATTCGAACTGCAAATGGGCCATCACTTTCTTTAACACTTTGACTCTCAGCGCTGTTGTTAAAAATGTAAATAACAGAAATTTTAATTTTTAAAACAGTAGAAAAGTTCTGGTTAAAGGCTTGCACTATACTATGTGCATTGTACTGTGATGGATAACGACTAGGTAGGAGAAATCGGAGAGCCGAGTTCGAATTCCAGTTGGATTTGTTATATATACTTACGCACAAATACCCTTAGGAGAGATATAAATGCATCTCTTCTCCCTCCAGTTATGGGTTAAAAAACAGGACAGTCCTATTACCTTGGTTAGATACCAGTCTACCGCAGAAAGAAACGGCAACTTTCGGAAAAGCAACGAATGTTACAAAATTTATGTGATTTCCGACACATGCGTTAGAAGCCACTTTCAACAATATTACGTTTTTTTTTCTCAAACAATCCACAACTATAAAACTTGACGTGTGTTATCGCATTACTACTACAGGAGACAGTCGCGTCTGTTCGAGGTTGTAGTTGTAAAGAAAAGAAACAGTCAACTTATAGTAGCAATAAACGACTGCAATAGATTTATTCTGTCTCTCGACCGCAAAACACAGCCAAATCACAGTTCAAACGATAGTCCGTCGTAACAGTCCAACAGGCAACGTAGAAACGACAGAATGGGGTCACAAACCCAACCGTCACTTCTTACCAGCAAAAATTCGTGTTTGTCCACCAAGCTCAGGAAATCAAATCTGTTCACATGAGCGAAAAACAACGGCTTTTTCACCGAAAGGATTTTCTGATTAGTCACACCATTCAAGGGAGGGAAGAACATTAGCATAGATTCTGGTCCTTAAAGTATTTTTTTTTTTTTTTTGCAAACTACTTTTTGGTAATTTTTCTTCGGCAGATCGCACACAAAACACAAACTCTTTTTCGAGGTAGCTGATTATCTACAGAGATGTACTAACAAAATCACCTGCCGAAAAACCCACATTAAACTTCGACCCTGTGCCACATTCTGTTGGTACGTGAGCGCACGGATTAATATCTACTAACAAAACCACCCCCAAAGAAACCCTTACGATAAAAGGTGGGAATAATACATATGAAATGGCTGGAAACTGAGACATTAGAAAAACTTCTCAGTTTCTTCGAGGCCAATAACCAGCT